TTGATTCTGGTTTGCCAAAATTTGCATCACAGATTTGCCACTTAGTTTTGACCCGAAAATTGGCACCGCTGCCGCACGGAAATAGCTGCAGTGTAAAATTTTAGAAGGTGGGGCTTTGTGATGCAAATTCTGGTCGATTCTGCTTTGCCAGCATTTGCATCACAGATGTGCCACTTCTTCTTGGCCCGAAAATTGGCACTGCTGCCGCACGGAAATAGCTGCAATGTAAAATTTTAGAAGGTGGGGCTTTGTGATGCAAATTCTGGTCGATTCTGGTTAGCCAGCATTTGCATCGCAGATTTGCCAATTCTTCTTGGCCCGAAAATTGGCACCGCTGCCGCAAAGAAATAGCTGCAGTGTAAAATATTCGAAGGTAAGGCTTTGTGATGCAAATTCTGGTCGATTCTGGTTCGCCAGCATTTGCGTCACAGATTTGCCACTTCTTCTTGGCCCGGAAATTGGCACCGCTGCCGCACGGAAATAGATGCAGTGTAAAATTTTAGAAGGTGGGCCTTTGTGATGCAAATTCTGATCGATTCTGGTTCGCCAGCATTTGCATCACAGATGTGCCACTTCTTCTTGGCCCGAAAATTGGCACCGCTGCCGCAGAGAAATAGCTGCAGTGTAAAATTTTAGAATGACTCCGACCAGCAGTCTATCCTGGCCTTGGATGTAAGCAAAGGTGAAAGCGTAGAAAGCAGCCGCATTTGGAACGGAGATGAATGACTCCGACCAGCAGGCTATCCTGGCCTTGGATATCGTCAAAAAGCGACCAGCCACGTTTGGTGCGGAGAATGACTCTAACCAGCAGTTTACGCTAGCCTTGGATGTGGACAACGATAGGTCGTGATCCGAAGAGACTTCGGAAGCGCGTTTCGCCGCTTCCGGGGCATCACGGGCGCGGCGCTTTGCGAGCAGTTTCTAAGCGCCTACGCCCGATCGTGATCTGAAGAGACTTGGATGGCTGCGTCTGACACATCCATTACGGAATGGGCTCTTTTCGAGCAGCCTCTGAGCAGCTGCGCCAGGTCGTGATCAAAAGAGATTCGTCAGGGGGTACGCGAACCATCGGATGCGAATGGGCCCCCTACGCAGAGGATGCGCGTACGCGCATAGCCGCGGGAAGAAGAATTGGGTTTTTGCTTTTCACCACTCATTTAAATATTTGTGCAAAACAGCAACGCACCTGCAGATGCGTTCTTGCATGCATTACAATGAAATTTCCTTCTGGGGGGGGGTGGGGGGTACGCGTACCCCATTTTAAGAAGCGTCAGCTCTCTTTTTATCTGGGCGCTCGCGTACCCCGTGGTAGCGGCGAAGAAGAGATGGGTTTTTTAGCTTTTTTACTCCGTTTTGCGGCCCGGAATACAAATGCAGAGCCTCTTTTGCTTTCAATACGAGGAAAATTTAAAAATTTCGCGGTTCCGGCCGCGCGATAGAGATAGGATTTTGAAATCGGTCGCCAGGATGTAGTTTTGAATCAGAATGTACGCGTACCCCGTGATGGGAATGACGAGCTTGTTTTCTATCAGGGGCTACTCGTGCCCCCTCGTACGCATGCTTACGTTAGTTTTTGTGACGGAGCACGCGCGATCGAAATGGAAAAATCGTGTCTGTTGCTTCAGCTCTGCCTTGGGGTTTCGTTGTGTTTTTTTCGAGGTCCTGTTTATCGGTTTGGAATATGCAGCATCAGTCGCGCTACTGTGCAAATGTGAGGTTATTCGCCTACGAGCAGCGAGGCGATGGCGCGGATATTGGCGCGAAATATTTAGCAATTGTGGGGACAGGACGACAGACATTCGCGGCACAACAGCATGCGCGGGCCTCAGTTCGTGGTGCCGGCAATTTTGAGTTGACTTGATATTGCAAACGTACCATAAACCTTGCAAATGCGCCATTTGCGAAAGGCACTGCGATTTTGGTATGTCAAAAAATCAAAAAAGACAAAAAGTGACGTTCATGAGTCTTGACAGTAGACGTTCTTCTGTTCGCGCCATAAGTTTTTGTTTTTATATGCTCTCTTTGTGCTCGGGCAGCGTTTTTATTTTTCTCGTCACTTCCGACAAGGTTTCCAGCGTGTAACAAAAATTTTTCACGGCACAGGCGCCACGTCTTTGCATTCTCACTGCGGACATGTTCGCGCAATCGCTCCATATGCACAACAAGTTAAGCTGCTGCAGGTTGTTCCGTTAGGAGTAGTACAGGAAAAAATTTTCTCGGCTCTTCGATTCTTAAAAAAAATATTTGATTAACAAAGACGCTAAACTTCTCCACACAAAAAACGATCGAGAAGATTTCTGCAGTACACATGTAATGCATAAATGCAGTCAAATATCATGGTTTTCATTATTTGATTTCATTGCTAGACCAAAAGAACCGCAAATGCAGCATTTGCTCATTGTACGATTATTTTCATGCTGCGTCAGAACTATGATGATTGTAAAACAAAACTTCTTATTATGGAAGACGCTCTCATATGATCTTGATGCGTGCGACATAGTCGTGAACCGCTATGTTGCGCGCTGCAGTACGTCCCATGCCGCACTGTATCAAACTGATCTTGATCATTGCGATCGCTCTTATCAGGCAGCGGCGCCACGCCAAAGAGATTCGGCTGTATCAAAACCGCAGAAGGCGCAACAAACCGAATCCCCACGAGATACTACGCGCAACCCTTCACACCTATAGAAGCAATTGCGAAGTTTTCCAACTAAACAGGCTCCGCGTCGTAGCATCAGGACGGCGACGCGCCGATCCGGGTAGCCTGTAATCCGCATGTTCCTACGCGCAGCCTGGCGCAGAACGTTGCAAGCCGGAAGAGCAGAGCAGCCGAGCAGCCTGCAACCGAATCGCCCCCGTCGTAGCAGGAGGGCACCGACGCGCGGCTCCGGGCAGCCTGCAATCAGCCTGATCCTACAAGCAGCCTGGCACAGAACGTTGCATGCCGGACGAGCAGAGCAGCCGAGCGACCTCCGACCGAATGGCCTCCGTCGTCCCATGGAGACTGCGAGGCGCGAATCCGGTCAGCGTGCAATCCGCACGGAACTACGCACAGCCTGGCGCAGAGCTCGTCAGGACTAGTACAGGAAAAAACTTTCTCGGCTCTTCGATTCTTGAAAAAAATATTTGATTAAAAAAGACGCTAAGCTTCTCCACACAAAAAATGATCGAGAAGATTTCTGCAGTACACATGTAGTTCATACATGCAGTAAAAATATGTTGCACTCGCGCCGCCGTGTTGGCACAACGGCGCGGCAACTTCTTCATAATTGAGGGACCATAGAAACATAGACGAGCTGACTCAAAGGCTTGTAGATTTTGCAGCGTCCGTAGATATGTAGTGCATAGAAGTCCTCGAGGATGGAGCCCGGGAGACTTTCATGCGCTCCGTCCCTGGTCCACTTGCGGTCGGTTGCTTGAAAGGATGAAGCAAACAACCGGCCCAAAGAAAACGCAAAGTGACTACATTACATGGGCCCTACCTTCGCCGGGGCTACTGACCCAACGCGGCATCAAAAGGCCGCAGTGGCCTAACGGACGGACGGTGGGGCAAGTAGGCTGCGCCGAGTGCCGGGAGCCGGGTCATTTGCGAACGCAGCCTGCCAGAGGCATCGCCGTGGCCACGGAGGTAGAAGCAAGCGCACAAGGAAGCGCAAAACTCAAGAAACGTGGCAGCAGGCGTAGAAGTAGGCGTAGGAGCAGGGGCAGAAGTAGGCGCATTCGAAGGCGTAGAAGTAGGCGTAGAAATAGGCGTAGAAGTAGGGGTAGAAGTAGGCGTAGAAGTAGGCGCAGAAGTAGGCGCAGAAGTAGGCGTAGAGGCAGGCGTAGCGGTAGGCGTAGGAGTAGGCGTAGAATTAGTTAATAGCGCCTTAATACACTAATACTTGTACTACAAACTAGCTTGGCGTGATCCGCACAGAGTCCGAAACATGGCGTCTTCTCTCCGTATGTAATAGAATAAGTTAAGTGGAAAATAGAATATCAATATAAATATGTTGCACTTACTCGTAATATTAAATACGCTGTCTATTTCTGTCAAGGACTACAAAATTGCAAATCAATGCTTTCGGTAAGAAGAAGAACGTGCCAGATGGACATAGGCACATAGCCATACTAGATCTAGATTTTGATAAAATTATAAAATTCGAATTGGTAATGCGATGCTATGCCTATGACGACAATAAACTAGTGCAAGAATGAGATGCAAACTGAGTGCGACTAGATACAAAATTGAAAGATCATTCATACTAGATAAACATAAAGCTAGAACATGTAGTGCGTAAATAGGTCGGGATTGTGTTGTAAAGTGAAGTGAACTGATGAAAATTTTATGCGAAATTGTGATAAATGTTTGTCAAAACAGAAATTAGTGCTGTAAACCTCCTTGGTGAGTTCTTGTGGGTTTCGGTGGATACTCCGCAGCGCTTTCGCTTGCCTAGTGGCTCCGTCGGCTTTTTCTTTTCCGAGATTTTCGCGACCAAGAGTTGCACGCTTGAGGGGGCCGGGTTTTTTTAAATAATACCCGCGCCCCCGGCGTAGCTCGGGCCGCAGTAGAGACGAAGATAAATTTCGTCTGGCTTCCTTCAAATTCAAATACCGAGTTGCACAGAACTTCTTCTCCATCAGAGGTGCGCGGCCATTTAGCCTGCCTCCTCAATGGAAAGAGTAATACATCCGTGCAAATCGGACTCCACACCACACACCGAGCCGGCGGCGTTGTATGGAAACGCGTTCAGAAGTCGGTTGGACGAGCAGCGGTCGGCGTTCTGCTTCAGATACCGGACAAAATCCGCCGCACTGGGCCACAGCACGGACGTAGCATCCACCCAGGCCTGCATCCCGGTGCTGATTTCCAGCTTGTTACCCCGGTTCTCGAAGAATCCGAAGCTGAACAAATCGGTCGCCTCTTCGCACTGGGGCCACCGCCAGGTCCCGGCTCGCTCCGTGGACTGCGGAAGTCCGGGGAGCTGCAGCGTGGTTTCACGCAGGTGGATGGACGCCGCCTTGCGCCGGTTGAACGTGTTTGCCTGATACTTGTGTGCCTGCAGCTCCGCTGCCATCTTGGCATGCACGCAGTCCAGTGCTTCATACGACAGCGTGACCTCCTCTTCCTTTTGCCCCCCGTCGGTTCTGAAGGTGTACCACGACACCTCGGCATCTTCGTTGCGCCACCCGTCTGGGTTCTGCATGGCACAGACCACCCTTTCCGCGTACCGTGTGTCCGGTTTGAAGGAGCTCTCTCCCAGCGAGCCGCTTCTTGGAGTAAGGACCGCCGTCACGACGTTGCGAATCTCGAAGGGCAGAAGAAACACGGGGCCAAGAAGCGTCAACACCTCCTCCAGCCAGTAATGGACCAATGCTGCTTCCTCCTCCGGGCTCCCGCTTTGTAGCGTGCCCCCGCCATGATTGCCGTCGTCCTGTACTAGCGTCATCTCGCTATTTAGCGTGAGCCCCGTTTGTAGCGTGAAGCCGCCATTTAGGTCGTCCGGTATCCTGGTGTTCGCGCCGACGCTGCCCTTGCCCCGCCACGGTACCTCGCCCCCGCAGCCCATGCTCAGGTGCTGCTCGGACCACCGGGTCACGGTGCGAACAGCGGCCCCAAGAAAGGACGCAGAGGTCGCGTTCCTGCAAGCACACAGCGGTGGCGGACTATGCATTGCAAACATGTCTGTGGGTCTGGAATGATCCGCATTTCTCAGCACGTTCTTGCAATGCATGGAAACAAAAATCTGTCTTGCAATGCATGGAAACCAAAAGCTGCACGTTCCTGCTCCTGGCCAACTGTCATCCGCCTTACGTATCTATTAAGACACCTCCGTCTCAAGTCCTGTGATGCTAGGCCGTGCATGCCAGATCTTCTTGGTCATGCAAAGGCTGCATCAGCGAAAACCTCTACTGCATTCTTCCAGACCATCCGGACATATTTGCATTTGATACGGTCTGTACATGCGCATGTGATCCACCTTTCCGGTGGCCCAGCTTCGCACAGATAGAAACCGCAAGAAGGAGCCAAAGCGCCCGTTCTTCGAAGTGAACCGCGCCGTAAAATATGGCCGAAGGTACTGCTGATCCAGTTGCACCAGTTGTTCGCAGCTAATGCTCACCTTTTGGGCGAGCCAGCTGCTTGGTGACGCATCCACCGAAGAGGGAGACAAGCCAACATCCCGTGGCCGAGCAGCCGGCGCGAACGCCCACCTGTTAACCACAAAGCCGCCCCCGGTCGAGGCCTTGACGCTCAGAACGCCGTGCGACCGCCACGGTCCGCGAAAAAATAGGCTTCCCATGATGGCGGTGCCAGTTTGTTCGGCGGCCCGTAGCTCCGAATCTACACAACTCGACGGGTCAGCTTCGAGACCAAGGGTCTTCGCCAACTTTCGGCTGAAAAGTTTGTTGAATCCGATGACGCCCATCGATCCGAGCCAGGTCATTTTGTCCTTATGCATTGCAAATATGTCTGGGTCTGGAAACTTCTGATGATTAAAATAATGACTGCCCGGCGAGCCACTTTTCCGGGGATCCATTGGCAGCAAGCCACCGCAGACCCCAGAACAGCATGGTGATGCACGTTTTTTCTTTTCGTTGATGCAAGTTGGAGCATCAAGAGGGCGAGAGAAGCCTCATCTCAATTTTTGACCGCCATGCATGTCAAGTGCTTCGGTTACTAGCTGTTACCTATCCTGTTTCTGCATGCCAGAGATGACTGCCTTTTTGCACGACAGAAGAACGCGGCTTGGGCTTTTCGGTAGCACGCATAACAGACTGGGGAGTCATGGTGGCCACGTATGACAAAACTTGCATTATTCCAGACACAGACCTCTTCATATTTGCATTTGATAGTCCTTGTCGTTGTGCAAAAGATCAACCGGGACCAGCAGCCGCCCACCGCTTTCAGGGTCGTGGTTGTCCGCTCCGAGGTCACTGTTTTTAGACCAGCGCTGCGCTTTTGCGTTGCTCTCGTCGCCACCAACTGCAGAAAGGCACGCGCGGCCGTTTACGAGAGCCGGCATCTGCTTCACGAAGCCGTTTCGGGGCTGCAGGACCCCTTCGACTCCCAGGGCCTTCTCGTCAAGGGAATGCTGCAAATCAGACCGCGCCTTGTCCGTTTCCGACCCGAATGCCCGACTTCCTGCCTGCGACAGCCGGATCTCGTTCGGGAACGCGGAAATCATTGTATACAGGAGGCGGTTTAATTCGCGCTCGACCGCGTACACGTTGCGCGCCATCCGGTCTTGGCCTACGACTGCGCTATCCAGCACCTGTCCAGCCCAGGACTCCGGTGCGATGTTATAGACGTAGCCGTGGGGTAAGTATTTCGCTGTCCGTGCAGCAGGAGGCTTTGGGTTGTTTTCTTCGTCGACCGTGACAGCAGCGCTGCTGTCGGGGATCTCCTGATAGTATGGGAAGTAGGCCAGATCGGGCCAGCGGTCTTTGTGACTGGGGGCCATTTTGACAAACCGCATGGTCCACACATTATTTGCGCTGCCGAGGAGGTCCGCGTGCGGTGAAGCAAACACGGTCTTCCTTCCGGCTTTTCGCTGCGAAGGCGCAATCGCCGAGTCTCCGTTCAGGTCGACCTGTGCGGCGTTTGCGGCGTCCGCCTCTGCGGCGCTCAGGACTTCCGCGGCAGCCGCAGGTTGTACATTGCAAACATGTCTAGGTCTGGAAAGATGCAAACTTGTGATCCTGAAATGCGACGCTTAAAATGACATGCAAACTTGTGATGCAAAGTTGTGATGCTCTCTGCCAGTTGATCGATGTAACGACGTCCCCCGACGTACCTCGTCGGCCGATCGCTCTGCTAGCCGGGAGCGGGGCTTTTTCATCCTTCTGCCAGTTACGCAATGCTCTCTGCCATCTACAGAACAATCTGTACTTATATGCATGAGTCGCACAGGCTGGCTATTTTTGGCCGCGCCGCGTTTCTCATAGGTACAGAGTTGGCATGGCAGAGCTCTTGCATGACTCGCGACGGTGGTTCCTGCATGCCAGACCTTGTGGGGCAGTGCCATGCAAAGCCTGCATCACAAACATCTGCGAGCGTCCAGACGCAGACATATTTTCATTTGATACGGGGAGAAAGGTCCCGAAACTGCGACACTTTGCGCCACTCCCAGCTTCAGTGCATCGCGAAACAATCAGGTTCCCCACGAGGTCCGCGGTCGTGGCGGCCTTGTCGCGGCTGCTCCTACCGCCCTTCAGTAAATCCGCGTCCTCGACGTCACGAGAGACGCCGAGGGGCTTCCACAAACCGTAGGACTGCGTCGCAGAAAACGTTCCAACCGGACCGCGCAGCCATTTAGCCCCGGACCACATCGGTTGGCCGCGCTGGTCCACATCTCGCGAGTTGCCGGCACTTCCCCGTCCCATCCCGCCATTGGTCAGGCCCAAGTGGGATTTCAAGAGCGGTCGGGCGATAGGCAGCGCCGCAATTACGTAGGCGCGGTCGCGCTTCTTGTAAACTTCCATCCGCTGTTCCACGAGGAAGTGCGAGGCTGGCGGAACGGGAACAAATGTGAAAAACATATCGTTCACCAGCAGAGCAAAAGCAACTGCTGCCGTCGTCACCGCAGCAGCACCAAATCCAAAAACACCATATAGCATGGCTCCGCCCGCTAAAAATCCCATCGCCCCCAGTCCACCGCGGTTTACCGAAAACGCTGCGATTCCAAAAAGCTTTGTGTACACCGCGTCGGACCAAAATGTCCAACCGGCAGTGAAAAAAGCCGTCGTGTTATACTGTGTAAAAACGTCAGCACACCATAGCCAAGTTGGCAAATCTGCAACACAAATCTCCAAGTTTTGGAAGTAGTTATGCATGACATACACATAAACAGACTGTGCTACTCCTACTGCCGGAGTTATGCATGACAAGTTTGGCCCCGTAGTGTAGTCCTGTTTAGGTAGTTCAGCAGCATCACATACCTAGCGCATCATGCTGATAGATAATTGGAGCATGACAAATTCCGAGACACGACTAGAAAACGCTTCTCATGGGGCTCCGCATGAGAAACATTTTCAGCATCAGCATGCAGGTGGTCTGCGTCATAATTCTGGGGTGGGGACGTTTTTCCTCAGGATACTTGTCCATTCCGTGGTAGACCATGGCTCCGCCGCCCACAATCACCACATTCGTTATCATGGAACCAAAGTTGCTGTACATGTGGTGGAACTTCGCGATGTTGCCCAAAATCTTGCCGAGATGCTCGTTCCCGTGCAGGGCATAGTCCAGTATATGTTGTGCAAGCTCGCTCCTGGCCCCCGAGCCAGTTAGTGTCTTAAGGGCCTCAACCAAGGGCGTCTCCTTGATGATGCCATTGGCGGGATTCATATATTACATGGAACAGCTCCCCCCATCGACTCCTCAACCGGAGTTTTCGACTTCGTGCGAGAACAAGATACCATACCGACAACTGCATCAATCATTCTTGCATTAAATAACTTTCCTCACTGTTACTGTGCAGCTAAATTCAGGTTGACAAGTTGACGTTGGGAAGCTCGAACTACAGCAGTCAGAATAAGAATATATTTATACAAATATGATCCTCGGTGGGCGTGGATCATCTTCTTGCTCCTTCGTAAAAAAAGTGCAGAGCAAGCTAAACTCTCACACTTGATGTAGTCCCTGCCGTCACAAGTCCATCCTTTTCAAATTCGGAGGAGCGAAATGGGAGGAGCTGTGAACTCTCATAGGGTGATGAACTCGAAGAGCTGAAATCCAAGGACAGTGATATCAAGCATCTTTTGAAAGGCTTCGTGTAGCAGGAAGTACATCTCGATGCCCTCGGCGTCCCATGAATCAGGAAGAAATTTGTTCCGGCCGTGCATGTGGCCCTCGGCGATCCGGTAGGAGGTCGGCAGGTGCCGTTCCCCGCCGAGTACGTTCGTCCCGACGGAGGCATGGTGGTCATGACCACCTTGACCGGCGTGGTCGACCCCGTGCTGCTCTCCTGCGCCGCCCTGATCATGCTGGACCGCAGTGCGCTTTCGCTTGGCAGCCGCCTGCTCCTGCAGGGCCGCCACCATTTTCAGAGTAACGTCGCGCTTCCTTTCCGAGGCGACCCGATACTGCAGACCGAAACCGAAGTTCTGCGCGGGGGCGCCACTCAGCCCCAGCATCAGTTCGTACTTCCCAAATGCGTGCGAGAACTCGATCGCCGTTTGCGCGAACTCCGTGATAATTTCGTGCTCGGGCCGCCGCACCTCCGTGATCATCGCTCTCCAGTGCTTCCACCGCTGCGTGCTGTCAAACGCAGGATTCCAGTGTACCTCTTGCGCAGCCGCCGCGTGGTCCGCCCCCGCGCCGAGGCGCGCCGGCGCGAGGTCATCTTCAGCCTCCATCGCGAAGGCTCCCACGCGCGCCAGTCCGGTGCGACATTTTGTGCTTTGCTGCCGAGTTTTCTGTGACCACGAAAGGCTCCCACCCAACCCCACGCGCAGCTGTGCGCGGTAAAGGCCTACCCCTTGTACCCGCACTTCTTTTGTCTCGGTGGTGCCGGTCGCCGAGGTGATTTGCACTTTGGCGATGTCTCCTTGCAGATTGGCGCTCGTCCCCCCGTGCGCGCCAAGCAGCCTCAAGTACACCGCCGGGTAAACGTCCTTGCTGTAGTGCTCCCCAAGAATACTTGTGGTCCTGAGAAAGAATCTCGCACAGGGCGGGTTTGGTTGCGCCTTCCACCAGACGCAACGAGTCGAGCCGCCCGGTATGGTGGCGCAAAATTGTGAGTTGCGCTTGTCGACGCTCTCTTGCCGCGCAAACACGGCGCGCGCGCCTGCGTGAGTCCATTTGCTACCCAATTTCTCGTCGCACGCACCTACCGCGGGCACGTCGATGCCTGTTTTCTGCCGGACGAGCAACAGGCAGAGCCGGTCGCGCGCCTCGGGCGTGGCCCACTCGGCAACCCAGGGCATCAGCACGGTTTGCTCCTTGCGTACGCTCTTGTCCCCTCGCACAATTTTCTGTTGCACTCGAAAGGACACCCCGCCGGCTGGCTCGTGGTAACTGAAAGACGTTGACGAGCCGCTCTGCGTCTGTACGCGAGATGGTTTGGGGTTCAAGGCCACGTAGGCGGTGTTCAGCGGGTCGATCGCCGTGCCAGATCCGATTCGGTAAACGTTTTTTGAATTCAAACTGTCGGAGATCTGTCCGAGGTCGCTTCGCGTGTAGGATTCGTACGGAATCAATTTTACTTCCTTCGTCTCACTGTCCATCTGCTCCACCTTTGCGCGGCACATGTCCTCGGTGACACCTGCAGGAAAAACAAGGAAAAAGTGTTTGATTGTTTGTACTTGGTTCAAGTTGAAGACTCTTTACTGGATCATATTTCGACTGATGACACTGAAGCCAGATCTATCTTTGCCTTAGCGCTCGTGCTTGCACACATCTCTCTGCTCGTGTCTGCAGTCTTCTAGCTTCTGTTCGAAGAGCAGACCCTCAACGAGACAATGTACGAAACAAAAAGTGAAAGTAGTAGGTACCAACGTCCTCTATCGATCCTTGCTTCAGAAAAACGTCGTCGTCCTTCCGAATTTTCATATTTGTTGTGGTCCACACAGGCTGGGAGGCGTCACCTGAGAGCGGCGCCCCGGGATGAAGTTTGGACTTTTTCAGCCAGGCGACCCATCCATGCTGCTGGTTGAGCGCCTCGCTTTTTCCTCGACCGCGGAGTGTCCCGCTGAGAACGTTGCTGAGGCCCTTAAAGGACTGCGCGAAGGAGCTACCAGCGTGCGAGGATGAGATTGTAGCGTTGATGCTCGTACTCTCCGATTCATCGAACTCGTCGTCGTGGCGTCGATCTGCGTCGGAAGAAAGCAGAGGCCTTGGCTTCTCCAGCATTGAAAATGCGTTGTTTGCGTCTGACGACCCCTCGTGCGGCAATGGTGCTCTTGTACTGATAGAAGCCGAGGACGGTGATCGCCGACGACGTTCGCCTTCCCCTGCCACTGCTGGTAGCAGTTGGGATCTTCGCCCTTGCAAACCGACCGCAATGCTGCTCGACGAACCGTGGTTGTGATTCTGCAGGAACAGGTCCGTCGAGCTCCCCTCAACTGTGAGGAGGAAGTAGTTGCGGGGGACAGAGGATGCACAGCCGACCTCCCACAGAGCCACAGTCGGACGCGCATCGTGGTCCTGCAAAGCTGCGTCATCTCCCTTGTTGCCACGCTGTGTTTGCCACGAGGTTTGACCAACCGCTACCTTCGAGATGCGCTGGTGGTCCCGCACGTACACCGACAAGCACCAGTCCTTGAAGCAGCCCGGCCCGTGGAACTTTTCTGTCAGCTCCTGCACGTGCGCCGTCCGCGTCCACGCTCTCACGGTGCCCTCCCTGCCCGCGTACTTTCCCGATAGCTGCAGCAATTCCCGCGGGGGCGTCAGGCGGACGTAGTCGGCCAGGGACGCGTCGCCGCCCGGCGCAGCGGCGTTGCCGACCCCGGCGCCCCCGAAGTCCTTCGCCAGCGGGGCCTGGATCAGGTCCGGAAACTCATTGCTGGGCAGGTCCAGATGTACGCGCAGTGCGTCGAAGTACACGACGATCTGGAAGTTGATGAACCGTGCGAGCGCCATCTTCAGGTCCGCAAACAGGTCGGGAAGCCGGATCCCGCTCTGGATGATGCTGAATTCCAGCTCCTTGTATCCTATGTAAAAACTTCCCCAGCACCCCCGAGCTGTCATTCACATTTGCATGATGCTCATGCGGCTCCATGGTGTTTGGGAATCTATCTGTGGTGAGCTAATCAGGATAATGGCGCTGATTGGCAATGCGGCTGGAGTAGCTTCTACACACGACTAGACTGCAGAACCAAAATTCTCATGCGTGCTTAACAGCCAATAAAAGTTTCGGATTTATTGAATTTGTCCTGCGCAATTCCCATCTTGGCTCTGGGGTAGGGGCCTCGCTTTTCCTCAGGATACCTTGCGCCGGAACATCACGGTCATCTTCGCAGCATATTCGGATTGCTGCTTCACGGCGATGTCGGGAAAGTTGGCCCAGGTTTTCAGGCACTGCGAGACCGAGTTCCCGTCCGTGCACCCGTAGGACTCCTGACTCGCCTTCATCGCCCGCGTGAACATGGGGTCCGACTTCATGAAGGCCTTCTGGGCCACGATCCGCGCGCGGTCGAAGATCTGCCGTTTTTTCAGCACTTCGCTCCACAGCAAGTACTGCTGCTCCTGAAACACCTCGGGCAGGTCCGCGAGCACCGCTACAATATCCCCTGAAAATTAACCATCCGCCCCGTCCACCTTTTGAAAGATAAGAATAGAAGTCGACTTTGCGTTTACTCCATGTTAATGCTTTTTATCACAAACTGAATGGGGATGGTTTGATTTTCAGGGAATACACGACGTCCTCCGCGTACAGAGCGGCGCGCTTGAGCCGCTGCCGCGCCAGCATTTGCTTGAGGTGCATGCGCAACAGGTGGTAGAAGCCCTCGAACAGGTTGGGCCCCGGTTTCCCGGTCGCCGGGTCCGCCTCTGTGAGTTCCTTGCCTTCCAGTACCACGTGCGTGTAGAATGCAATCAGCGGATTGTACAAGTTCGGAAACTCGTCGCGCCACCAGTGCTGGTACCCACACAGGCGCTTAAAGTCGTGCTGGATTGTTTTCAACCTTAGCATAGCATCGGTAGTGATTTTCTGCTTTTGCTGCACTTCCAAAACGGAACTCTGGTCAACTACTTTCGGCGATGTTTTCATTGTCCTTTTGCGCATGTTGTTCATCTCGGCCTTGTCATCACCAACAAACTCGTCCTCGGCGCTATCGCTCTCAACATCCTCCTCTTGCTCGTCGTCCACATGTAGTTGATCCCCCCTTTCGAAAAAGCTGCTGCTCGTCCCTGCGTGCTCCTGGTCATCTTCCGTCCCTGCTCTCAATGAATCTGGCGTTAGCACTTGAACATCTTCACCGAGACGGACGTTCTGTCCGTGCCTACTCCTGCTCCCGCTTCTTCTCTCTTTTGCACTTAAGTGGTGCTTGTCTTCGCTTATCACGTTGAAAAGCGCCCCCCTCCCAGAATGTGGAAGCGCTTGCATGGCAAAAGCTCCCAATGAAAGCATTTGCAGCCCACGCCCTGCAGCACGTAGCAGTATGACAAATTTTCGACTCAGAGTAGCGAAAGTCCGTGTTGCAGTTGCAGTTGCGCAGTGCCACAGTATCTTGAGTGATGTGTCGTGTCAATATCAACAACAACATGGTGAAGTTGCATAAGTAAGTAGTGGCTTAGCTTCTGAAGCAAAACGTATCGCATTCCATTTCCATGCATGGCATTCATGCAATTTATTAAATAAAGTTCCCGCGCGGAACAACCTGCTCGGTCTTCCGGTGGTGCTGGGGCACTTTTCACTCTCATATCGCTAGTAAGATCTCCATGTGTTTTCCTCGAAAGTTCCGGGTGAAACACAGGATCGCCCGCCCGGCTGACGGTCGCGTAGGCGCTGCGCTCGAGCTCCGGCTGTTCCTCCGGAAACTCGAGAAACGATGTCCGGTCGACGGTACTGCGCAGCCTGTCCTTCCCTGGATTGACCCACTTGCTGAGCCCGATGAACAACTTCAGCCGCGACCACTCGCTCTGCACGAGGTGGCACCTCGACATCTCGCGGAAATGCCCGGCATCGTACACGACAACCGCTTATGCGTTGCAAATATGCCTGGATCTGGATGAAGGTAGGACTGGAGGCAAGCTCGTCTGGGTCTGGACTGCACAAAAAATTGTGTTCCACGACGGCCAAAAGAACTCGCAAATACCATAATCTTCTCTTTTTCTTGTGGTAACGCAAGTTATCATTTTTGGCGAACATCTCGTGCGGCGCAGGCATCAAAACAAAGCCCAGAGCGAAACGCGCCATGCTTTCGCATGCATTCCAGTAGAAGACCATCTTCACCATCCCAATTTGCTGTGATGTGATCCAAAACATGCATGACAAAACCCTGCAGTGCTCCACGCACACAGACATACTTGCAATGGATACGTCGCGTTCGTGTCGGTCGCGAAACTTGTACAATTTTCCGCGGCGATTGACCACAGTCGCGCCCTTCGAGCCCCTTTTCGGCACCTTGCGGCTCGACGAGCACGGGGTGCCTGGCAACGGGCGGTCTGTGGCCTGCTCCACTTCTTCGAGCGCGTCTCCGAAGGCGTCCACAGCCGCAAACCACCCATTTTCCGCCACAACCTCCAGGCACCGGCGCAGCGCGGTGGAAAATTCCAGGCGAAAGTCCATGAAGTTAAACACGTCCGGGTGGGTCGTCTGCTGCGTCCACAAGCCGTCGTTGCCCTCGCCGGAGAAACTTTCCCACACCACCGTGAAGTAGATTTGTTGGATCTTCATGGCAACGTGCGCGAGCGAATCTGTCTTACGGCACCGCAATTTCCCGACATCGGTGCGCTGGTGGGCCACGTACGGGTCCATCGAGTGGAGGTTCGTAAACGCGCCGCGCTCCGTCGGCTGCAAGAGAAAGAGCGAGGCGGCGTTCAAGTGCTTCTCGCGCAGCCCACTGGACTGCTTGACCGGCGGGATCATCTCTTCTTTCGCATCTGCCAGAACGGCGTTTGTAGAGCTGTTTGCTGGCCGCGCGCCGTCTAAGTTGTAGAGCGTATTCGCAGCGTCGTAGAGCGTATTCGCAGCGTCTAAAGTTGTAGAGCTCGTGTTGTATCCCAGAAAAGAACTGTGTCTGTGTTCATGTTGCTGCCTTGATATGATATGACACCATGACAAATGAATCTGTTCTGCATGTTGACACAGAAACAAAGCCTGTCATGCACAGGCACAGCTAGTATCAACAGTACTATGTGAAAACAAATAATGAAACAAATGACAAGTAAATAAAACGAAGACTTTATGGCTGGCAAGCATCAGCATGGCAAGTGTAACTGTGAATGTGATGCGGCATACTTGGCATTGCAGATTTACGCCAGACACAACGAACTTACACAGTTTTTTCTTTCCATATGTTGGAGCTCACCGCTACTGCCGATGCGACCCTTCGACGTTGTACTAGGTTCCGCGCTCCGGCAATCATACATGTACCTGCACAAAAAAATGCAAGCAACAACATGCGATGACTGAGCTCGGCACGCCAATGCGCCGAGAACAAACCCTTGGGCCGGAAGCAACTCATGGCTTTCCGTTTCAGCCATAGAAAATTATGGGCCATTATTCTTGATGTGAGTGATTGAACACTCTGTCTGGAAAAATACACGATAAAGAACTCTGTCCTCTTCTTGTTGGAATAGCCAGGCGTCCATGACCAAATGTGGTGACGTTTGCACACGTTTATTATAAATGTAACTTTTGGTTTTCTTCAGACAGGACCTAAATGCGCGATTTTTCTGGTACTTTGTATTCTTCTAGAATATTGCAAGCGAGATGCTAGCTCTTTAGGTGTGTGTAGTCAGCTTGTGGGTGGTTCACAACTTTCCTACTTCGCTATTGAATGCTTGTTAGCTCGTTAAGTGTGTGGGAGACGGGCGTTTCCTGTCAAATGTGGAAGAGAATTTCGCCATGATCTCGCACACAGCCGAGGCACCGATCATGAGCAGGCAGCATACACACGCCGACGTGCAACCGATTTTCCACTTCATTTGAGCTTACTGATGCACGACAGAGTGGGACGAAAGTTGCATTGCTGGCATGGACGGGCCGAGTAACGTGGTACCGATTGACATCTCCTTCAGTAGGAGTTCTTGCTTGCACTTGAGTGAACGACACCGACCTGCTCGCGAGGCAGGAGCACTGTACCGATTGTCCCTGCAAGGGCTAAAGAGTGCACCGATTTTGTCCGAGCTCTGTACAGCGTTTAGTTCGCAGTCGAACATTTGACTATCAGCTGGTAGCCCCCCTTCCCTGCAAGGGCGGGATTGAATCAGTTTCAGTTCTGGCCTTGCATCATTATCATCTTGCTAGCATAGGGCAGGACTGCTAGACGTTTATCTGGACCACGTTGTCGCTGTTCAAAGATCGGCGCTGTCCTCTTGCAAAGTTGTATGCAATGCGCTCACAATATCTGTGAGATGCACGATGCAAGTAAGTACATGTGAAAAGTGAGATATCTTGGAAGTAGCTCTTGTGTGAGAGATTTTCATCCTATCCACCGAGTAGGTACGGTCCGGCTATGTGAGCGTGCAACACAGCAACCGACAGAACGGCACCGCGCGTCCCTGTTTGAGTCTGACGTCGGTGCAGTTGCCGGATTCTACATGAGAGAGCGTGCATGACGGCAACCGGAACCGAGATGAATCACGGTCCTTCTAAATGAGCGTAGTCCTCACGGCAACCGACAGCTACGGGGTCACGGGAACAACCGACAGTTACGGGGTCACGGGAACAACCGACATTTACGGTGTCACGGGAACAACCGAGAGCTTTTTACGAACGTTCTCTATCATGAGCGGGCAACACGGCAACCGTGAATTCCCGTCTGACGCAGACGGTGCAGTTCGAGTTCCAAGTTCCTCGTCGAGCAGACTATATCATATACAAACAGTTGTGATGAAGAAATTTTCTCCTCATCCAACGAGCCGGCAACGGTGGAAACTTAAAGCAGTCCGCATCATCCAGCATCAATGTTTGAGAAGGAAATCCGACAGAATTCGAAACATCATACATGTAAATAATAGAAATAATGTCGGTTGAAGGGTCAATGAACGCAGAGGAACGAGGAAAATATCGGGAAAGGGCGGGTCGTGCCAGCGGCAAGACATGCATCTTGCGCACAGGGCACGGCACGCTATCTTTTGAACAAAACGAAGCAAAGTTGCAGAACAACTTGTGAAGTTAGTAAAAAGTAGCTCGGGGTTGCATATTACGGTCGACGGAAAATATTGTAACATATCGCAACGATCGGGAACTCATGCGTGCACTATTTAAGAAATCGCACTTTTTCGTTAAACTGTGATGTACGTGATCGCAAACTCCTAAGAGGTCTGGTACAGATTGAAATGGAATGAAAAAGAAAAATTTTGGTTGAAAAACGGCTGTTTCATGCGTGCCTGTGCGAACAAAACTGCCGGATAGTCGCAAAGAGAAGACGCGAAAGAAACTCTCCGGTTCCACATAGTTTCACAAATGTGTGCGAGAGCTCGTACAACTTTACACCACCAGCTGCGGTAACGAAACCTCACGCTTAGGCGATTGGCTGGCACGCCGGCGAGATAAGAAAAGCTGGACGGCTTTTGCTTTTCGTCCAGACAGAAAAACGGACAGACGAGATTGCTTCGGCTTTTCGAAGTAGGAGGACATGTACTGCCGGGTTGTAGTCGCTTTGCTCTTACCTTCGGGCGCTTTGTTCTTTGAGCGCGGGATGCGCCGGCTTTGGCTCGGTTCAAGGCCGTCGCGGGCTTTTGCATTTCTTTCAGGATTTTTGTCGATGTTTGCGGAAGAAGTTTTGTTCCGCTGGAGAAACGCGGCGTCAGGCGACTCGGTATCGGTTTGCTCGATTGTGCTTTCCACACACCCGCAACAGGGGTCCGGAAGGAATCCCAAAGATCCTTGATCTCGTGACATCAAGAGGAAAAAGAAAACATAATTCGCAGTACAATCCACATAAGAATGCCCGTGCGGCGGCGGCTCTCGAACCTGCAATTCAATGCAAACCACGAAAATGGAGTTTGAGCGTTGCAAGCACAAATAAAAAAAAAAAAACACAGACAAGAAGGCCCGCATGCATGTGCATTTCGATCCCGTCGAAAACGACCAAGAACCAGTTGTGAACTACTTCCGCGCAGCAGTTTTGTTTTTCCTCTTCGTAATTATTGTCGTAGTAGTCGGTTCAGCTTCGCAACCGAGCATCATCAGCTCTTCTCCAATTCCAGGGCAGTAAAACGTCGGCGGTAGCGAATCAGCTACCTTGCACGTGACGCCTTCTATCGGCTTGGCGTCGGCACTGAGCCCTCCCGGCGGGAAGCGCTCGACACCCAGGACATCCGCCCAATCGAAAGTGCTCGTCAGATTCAATTGATCTAGCTGGTCACTCTCTGGGGCTGCGCAGCCAGCACCCGTGGCCGGCGAGGTCGTGCTATTGTTTGCGGCTGCCTCCGTGTAGCTCCCATCTTCGGGGGCATCCTCGTCGTCTTGCTTTAGGACCGTGATCGGCGTAGTTGTAGATGTTCCGGGGCTCTTTATCAAGCTGAACACAGGGACGCTTCGCTATCCGCGCTGCTTACGCGACTACTCAAAATTGGCGCTGCTTTATCTCTACCTAAATAGGCATGCAACAAATGCGTTATGAATCTCATAGCCATCGAAATACAAATAACGGGCACGTTTTTGCCATTGCATAAACAAAGCCCACAGTTGGTACCACGCGAACCAAAAGGCACAAAATAAAGCCTCTATGTTCATTTTGATAATGGCGGTGCTGCTCTGGTCAAGGATGGGAGGCACGGTGTGAGGCGGGGTTGTAGGGGTTGTCGGAGTACTCGCAATCGGTGGAGATTCACTGTCCTCGTTCCAGTCAATCACCAGGTCTTCTGGTGTGCTCGTGTCTTGGATTGTGAGATCGTGTACGATGGCGGACAAATCCTCTCTGCTGGCCAGCGCAGTCTTGATATCGGCTCGTAACGTCTCTGATGCCTCGTCTGAAAGTCCGTCAGTCGTGGATGGATTCCAGTTCCAGTCGGATGTTTCCAGCACTGCTGCGTCTAGGCGGATGCCGAACTTGTACTGCACCGTCACGCTCTGCGTCACGTTGTTGTTCACTCGCCGCCCACCATTTGTGGCACTTTCTTGGATGAATGACATGAAGCTCTGCACGAGCTCCGGAGTCATGGCATGGATTTGAGAGATGTTCAACGGCGTACCGGCCGACGCGAAGAATTTTTCGTTTAGGAAAGCCAAAACGCCACTCTTTATCGCGTTGCGGAAGCTTGCGCCCGTTATGAGCGCAATCACGTCCTGGACGGATTTGCCGATCGCCAGTTGCAGTTCCATTTGCCTTGAAATTTCCGCGAGCGTTTCGTTGTTGCTCACCGGAATCGAGGTAGTGGAAACCCCATCTGTTGGATCCACCGTTTCTGCGGCCGTGGTCGAAGAGCTTGCGTTCGTTGTCGACGGTTCGGCGCTTGTGGAGGGCAATGGGCTCGAGGTGGTGGGAGAAGAAGGGGTTGCGGTCGTGGAAGTCGTCACATTGCCACTCTCGGGGTCCGACGTGCTCGTGCTCGTGGCCGCCGGTGTGCTTGCGGCCGTTTCGTTAGATGCGCTCGCTGTCGTAGTCGTCGTCGATGTTGTAGTATTCTGCACTGGGGCCACGAACTTGTTTTTCAGGGCGTCCACCAGGGCCTCCAAGTGGTCCAACACGGTAGCCCCCGGGGCAGCGGTCGATCCCGAACTATCGTACTCGGCCCACTTCATTCCCACGGACCCGTGATCCATGCGGTGCGGGTGTACCATTGCATAATTCTCGCCGTCTTTAGTGAATGCCACTACTTGTTCCTTCAGATGCCAGCTCGCCGCCGCTAGCTCCTCGTCTGAACCACTGTGAGCCGATTCGCCAGCCCCCACACCAAAGCGGCTGTACAGTTGTCCTTGCATGCGTGTGATGATCCCGCTTTGCTGGTTCGCAATGCTTGCTACGTATGGTGTGTCTTGCAGCAGCCGGTAGTTGGGCATGTAGGTTGCGCTCTGCGTCCCGCCGTCTGCGACGTGCTGTGTGAATGCCCATCGCGAAGAGTAGCCTCTGGTGTTCATCAGCAACGCACCGTTGTCCCCCTCGCAAGTTGCGTCGGTGCTGGACCCCGGTTCGTGTACTGTCTCAGCTGCAAAACACCTTCGAGTGTCAGCGTCACGAAATGGTACGACGGTCAGAAATTGGAGCTCCGCGTTGCCCGGATCGGCCGCTAGGCGGTGCATTTCTGCTATGTTTGCGTTTGACACAACGCAGTCAGACGTCGCGAAATGCAAAAGCAGTGGCTTCTCCGGATTGTACACTCTAGCGTCCGCGAATGGGACTATAGGTGAGTCGCGCACAGGCGTTTCGCGGACAACGACGCGAACGTCCTGCAAAGCAGCAATCAACTCAGGGCCACGGTATGGATCACCGCCTTGAAGGCTGTCAGAAAAGCACTCGAATCCCGCGTTCGCTGGACACGGAAGTTGTGCCTCTCCCTCCCCGTGTTCGCCCGCGGACGGATTTGGGTCTTGCTCGACAGGAGGCGCGACCGCGTTCTCTACGGAAGTGATAAGCGCCTTGACGTCCCCCAGCAGACCTTGTGCTGGACCCAGTGCCAGGCCGTCAGGCCCAGCACCGTCCGCATCTGACCAGGTCTCTGCACCGGCGCGGTTGTATTCGTTCCACGTCATCCCCGCGGTTGACGTTCTGAGCGAGCCAAACCGTTTTGGGTGCACCATTGCGTAATTATCGCCAAACTTTGTGAACGCGACGACCTGTTCTTTCACGTTCCAAGTGTCCACCACGGGGTCCGTCATCGAGGACAGCCGGTGTTGCCCGACGGCAAACTTGTTGTAGAATTCGCCCTGCATACGCGTCGAGTATGACGTGTGCCCTTGTCCGTCGTCTTCTGTGATCATCGCTACGTAGGGCGTGTCCTGCAATAGTTTGTAGTTCGGCAGCGCCTCGCCCGACGCAGAGGCAGACGTATTTCTCGCCCAAGAAGAAAGAAATCCACTGGTTTTTGCCAGCGCTTGACCCTGGTCGCCGGAACATGGCTCCGTCAGCCCTGAATTCGCCTCCAAAACATCCTCGTTGGCGAAGCACTCGCCATCGGTCGAACGGAAGGGAATGATGGTCAGAAACTGGACGTTTGTATGGACCTCCGCCACCTGTCGCATCTGTGCGATGTTTGCGTTCGAGGTCTCGCATTCGGAGGTTGCAAAGTGTAGGATGAGTGGCTGGGTGGTGTTGTAGATGTCCGAGAAAGGAAGCACCAGGGAGGCTTCCACCGGTTCAGACCGCAAGACAAGTTCAATTTCCATCAACTCCGTTATAGTCGGGGGGCCTTGGTACGGGTCGCTCGACGGGTAGCAGCGGTACCCGTACCCGTTCGTGCAGCCAGTCAGAGTTGAACTGTTTCCCGCACCTGGACCGCGTGCGGGTAGTTGCATGGCGTCGGGGTTTTCGTCGATCCACTCAATGACAAGATCATCCGGGGTGCTCGTATCCGCAATAGTAATATTCTCCACACCAGAAACGTCTGCGGCACTTTTCAGCGCCCCTTCAATTTTGGTTTGCAGACTGTGGGCCGCGACAGCCGAAAGGCCGGCACTGCTGGAGGCGTCCCAGTCCCACGTGGACTGTTCCAGATCATCTGCGTCGACGCGTATGCCGAAGTCGAACACAACGGTTACGTCATCGGCCGTGATGGAAGCTGCGCGTCCTTGTTTCTCCGCGTCCATATGCTGGAAGATTTTTCCACTGCGTTTCTGAAGAAAAGACTCACTGTCACGCGGGTTCGCGACGATTTTCGGTGTAGTCCCCTGGATTTGGGTCGTGTTCAGCTGGAGCTCGGCGGAAGCAAAGAAATTCGTGTTGAGAAAGTCTAGGACGCCAGCCGTCAATGCTCGTTGGAAACTCGGGGCGGTGACGATGGTTTCGGCGCTTTGGGCTGAGCCTCCATCACGTCGCGCTAATTGAAATTCTAGTCTGCGCGCCAACAGCACAGTTTCGATTCCGTTGGCCAGGTCATTGTTTTCCGTGGTGTTCTTTGCGTCTTGCCTCTCCGCGGTCGTGGAGGTAGACGTACTAGTATTGGTCGACAAGCTTGGAAATACCGGCTCCCCGATCGATTTTGTGGAAGTGACGCCCACAAACTCCATGACCGCCTCCCCGATTGCAATTTCAGCCACAGTTTCGTTGAGGACGCTTTCCAGCGCAGTTTGCGTGCCGGCATTTTCCAGCCCGTGCGCTTCGGACCATTCGCGGGTCAAAGAATGCTCTAGCACTGCTGCTTGCTCTTCGGCTACCGCACTGATTTCGATATTGAACGTGAAAAAGACTGCGACTTCCGCAAGTTCTGCAAGGCGTTCAGCGTCACCGCGGTGCAGCGCCTCTCTTGTGAATAATTTTTGCTTCTTCTGCTGGCTGCTGGTTTTCCACTGAGTCCGCTGCAAAAAGGAGACGGACGCAGGCACTGACGGAACTTCGGGCAGCGCGTAAATTTTGAGCACCTGAGTCCCTACGTGAAGCGCACTAGTGCGCTGCTCGATCAGAGGATTGCCGTCGGTATCATGTAGGTTATTCTCGAGAAAGCCCTCGACTCCATCTTCCAATGCGATGCGGAAACTGAGCATCGTCTGGTTTAGCTTTTCAATTTGATCCACAGGCAATGCAGCGTCAAGAAAGTTGAAATCCGCCTCTTGGACCCGTTTAGCGGAACCCGCAAGCTCGCTGTCGAAAAAGATGGTGAATTGCAGTTCGCGTGAGAGAACCCTGCGAGGAATCTTGTTCGGCACAGGCTCCTCCCACACGATGTCGAGCTCAAGGTTTTCTGGCGTCACGGTGTCCTGCACTGTGATACCTACATCAAAACCCGTGGATGCGACCTGCTCGCTCTGTGCAATCGCCGCTGCAACGTCGGTTTGCAAATTCCTCGTGGCCTCCTCTGAGAGACCGACGCCTCCGCCGGCTTCCCAGTTGTCCTCCAGGGTGGAATTTGCCAAAGCATCCGCATCGAGCCGAAGCCCAAACTTGAACAAGATATCCACATCTTGGGAAATCGTTGTCCCGGCTCGTTGCCTCTGCGTGCGAAGTTGACGTGATTCTTCTGCCTTCATTGTGGTTTCCAGAAAGGACGATGCGCTGGGACTCCAATTGACGATTTCCGGCTGCTGGCCCTGGATTTGGGTCGGATTCAGGGTGAGTCCAGAAGAAGCAAAGAAATTCTTGTTCAAAAAATCCAGCATGCCCTCTGTCAGCGCGTCTTGGAAGCTGCGGTGGGAGACTAGCGCATCGGCGTTGGTGGCTGTGGTCTTGCTTCCGTCGCTGCTAAGACTCAGTCCAAACACGACCTGGCGCGCGACCGTCACCGGAGTTGAAGAAACCGGAACCTCGGGACGTACGGGCCCTTCGTCGTTCTCAACGTGGTCTGGCTCCCCCCCTGTTTTCGTCGAGGTGACACCGACGAACTGCAGGGTCGGCATCACCCGCGCGGCATGGCCCACTGCAGTCTCTACTGCTCTGTTCAGGGCGTCGTGTTCTGTTTGATCTGAATCGGCCAAAACTAGCCCGCTGCGTTCCTTCCAGATATCCTCCACAAACTCGAGCTCTGCAGCACTCTGTGTGCGAATGGTAAACTGGAACAGTACCTCAATTTTCGCAGATTTTTCGCTTTCGCCGACAGTGTCGCCGACGGAATCAGGCAGATCCGCCAGGTTTTTGGCTCCCTGCACGGCGGCAACAAGAGCGGTGACGTCATTCAGCAAGTTGTCATCCGTGAGTTGAGGACCCTCTCCGCCTCGGTTGTAGTATTCCCACTGCATCCCCGTAGTGCCACTTTCCTGGCGCTGGGGTTTCACCATTGCAAAGTTTAGACCTTCAGCTCCAGTGAAGCCCACTACTTGCTCTTTCGTGTGCCATCTTCTCGCCCCTGATTCCGAAACGCCAAACTTGCCGTAAAATTCTCCTTTCATGTAGAGCGAACTGCCGACGTGTGCAACGTAGGGCGTATCCTGGAGCAGCTTGTAATTTGGTGGCGCGGTGTTTATGTTTGCAGACCAGGCACTGTCGAACCCGGTAGGTCTATCACGAACAAAAGTAAAACTAGCGCCTCATGTTCATGCCACTTTCTGGCGACAATATTGAATATTGAAATCACTGCGATCTTTACATACCTGCTGTTTTCTACGGCTCTCAAGATCGTGGTGAAGAAATTCCACATGCAGCGTTGTGAGCAGCACCGGTCCTGCCTGGGAAGAGGGCAGTAAACTGTGCTAGCGGGAAAATGCGAGGAGGAGATTCGCCTCTCTGTGAATGCCGTGTTACTGCTTTTTTCTGAAGCCTGGTTGTCAAACAATAGAAATTTGTGGCGAGGGGGGAATCATGACCGCACCAGAGTTACTTTTGATAGACGTGCGACAGACCCGCTCCGGCGTCCCCGTTGCATTCGAACGAGTACCCATATCCGGAAGAAATCGTCTCTTCCCGGAAGCAATCTCCAGAAGGATTTTGGAAAGGAAGGACGGTGACAAATTGCACGGCCGGATTCTTGTCGGCCAGCGCCTTCATTTTGGAAATATTGTCGTCGGTCACCGGGCAATAAATTGTACCGAAGTGCACCACCAGCGGCTTGGCGGCATCGTACACATCTGCAAAAGGGAGGGTGGGCGACTCGGTAACCGGGTCGTACCGTACGACTACTTCCACGTCGAGCAGCTCACGCACAGAGGCCGGTCCCTGGTAGGGGTCCTCCGACGGGTAGCAGTGGTACTTCTCGACAGCCAAAAGGCAACCTCTTGGCGACGTCGGTTGAGGTAAAGCCACAGCATCTGGAGCGCCAGGTGAATCGTGAGCTTTCGCCTGCGCCGACGTGCTGGCCCTTGTCGATTTGTGCATCATCTTCTTGGTTATTCCCTGTGCATGTGCTATTTGCAAGAAAGACGCTGATGCCTCGGAATCCCAGAGCATCTCGAGCTTCTGGCCCTCGACCAGCACAGAGCCAAGCTCCACGGTGCTGCCGTCGTTGTTGAGGAGGCTCGTTAGAAAGATTTGCATTTGTTCTTCCAAAGCAGTACTAAGACTCGCAAAAGTCGCATTCAACGTGTCAAGATCAAGGCCTTCATGATCGGCTTCGTCGATCATGAAATGCGCGCTTTGCGCCTTCTGTGCGGCGTCAGCAATCGCCTCCGGAACACGCACTTCGAAGCGCAACTCACGTGAAAGAGAGCCCGAGGAAGAATGCGCCGGGTTGCCCGGTTCATCTTCATTCGGCTGTTTCTCGTCTTTTTCCTCGATCTCGTCGCTGTCCTCTACCACTTCGGGCGAGTCTTCTGCGGCCTTTGGTTTCGTAGCGATGATGCTTTTCAGTTCTCCCACCTCGTCGGCCATCTTAGACAGCTGTCCTGCCAGAGAAGCTTTCAGTTCCTCCTGATTCACGTCGGTTAGTCCGTCCGTAGCAGGCCATTGGTCTGCTAGTAGCTGTTGGTTGGTTTCCGGTAGAAATATTTTAAACCGAAGGAGGATTTCGACGTCGACAAGATCCGGAGGCGGATTTTCCCGCTGCGACTTTGTCGTTGTCAACTTTCGCAACTTTTGCTGCTCCGTGCCCGCCTGCATTTGCAAAAAAGATTCGGCCATCGCAGAATGCGAAAAGAGTCTGAGTTCTTGGGTTTTTACGTCCACGTTGCCGAGCGGAGTGCCGTCGCCATCACGATCAAGCAAGATCGCGACGAAGTTTTGCAACCCAGTCTCTAGTGCGGCGGCGAAGGTCAGCACAGTCTGATTTAGGCTCTCAATCCGGTCGATGCCCATGTCAAGTTCGTCAAGCCGAAAGTCGGCGTCTTGCACTTGTTTCACAGCGTCAGCAACTGTTTTGTTGATGCTCACCACAAAACGCATCTCCCGCGAGACAGGGACCAAAGGAGCCGGCTTCGCCACCGGTTCTGCCGGCTTCTCCACCGGCTTTGCCGGGTCCACCACCGGTTCTGCCGGCCTCTTCACCGGTTTTGCCAGGTCCACCTCCGGTTCTGCCGGCTCCACCACCGGTTCTGCCGGCTCCACCACCGGCGCTTCCGCCGGTTCCGCGGGCTCGGGTGCCGTCGAATAGGGTGTCGTCGCTGTTATACTTTTGAGCTCTCTCACCTCCTCGCCCATTTTAGACGACAGGGCCTCTGCCAGAGAAGCTTTCAGTTGCTCCTGACTCACGTCGGTCAGTCCGTCCGTAGCAGGCCATTGGTCTGCTAGTAGCTGTTGGTTGGTTTCCGGTAGAAATATTTTAAACCGAAAGAGGATTTCGACGTCGACAAGGTCCGGAGGCGGATTTTCCCGCTGCGACTTTGTCGTTGTCAACTTTCGCAACTTTTGCTGCTCCGTGCCCGCCTGCATTTGCAAAAAAGATTCGGCCATCGCAGAATGCGAAAAGAGTCTGAGTTCTTGGGTTTTTACGTCCACGTTGCCGAGCGGAGTGCCGTCGCCATCACGATCAAGCAAGATCGCGACGAAGTTTTGCAACCCAGTCTCTAGTGCGGCGGCGAAGGTCAGCACAGTCTGATTTAGGCTCTCAATCCGGTCGATGCCCATGTCAAGTTCGTCAAGCCGAAAGTCGGCGTCTTGCACTTGTTTCACAGCGTCAGCAACTGTTTTGTTGATGCTCACCACAAATCGCATCTCCCGCGAGACAGGGACCAAAGGAACCACCGGTTGCTCCGGTTGCCCGTCCGGTTGCCCGTCCGGTTGCCCGCCCGGTTGCCCGCCCGGTTGCCCGCCCGGTTGCCCGCCAGGTTGCCCGCCCGGTTGCCCGTCCGGTTGCCCGTCCGGTTGCCCGTCCGGTTGCCCGTCCGGTTGCCCGTCCGGTTGCTCCGGATCTGCGCTGTCGTCTTCCGTGTTCGGAGCACCAGGTACGTCGGGATTTTCTGTGTCAGTGCTGGCGCCGAAGATCTCGTTCCAGGTGGGAAGGTTTGCTCGAAGTGCTAGGTCAATGGGTGTCTCTGTATCAGTGATGGCGACGTTGTCCACGAGGTCGAAGATGCCACCGAGTCCTGCAATCGCGTTTGCAAGGCTGGTTTGCAGGGCCTCCATCTTAATTGGATTGAGAGGATGATCCGGATCCCAGATCCGGTCTTCGAACGAACGGAGCATGGTATCAGCGCCGGGCGCGGTTGGGAAACGAATACCGAATTCGAAAGGAACAGAAATGTGGTTCAGGAAGCCATGCGCCGCACTCTGTTCGTTCCTTTTCTTTGCTCGACTGCCTTGCTTTTGCAAGAAAGAATCTCCACCCCGAGAAGCGCCGTCCGGCTCAGCTTGTTCTGCGTTTTCAAACACCCGGCCGTGCATTTCCGTATGGTTTACGCCTCCCACGGGAAAGCCGAATCTGGGGTTGTTCAAAAAGCCCAACTATCCAAGAGAATTGCCCCCTCATCTGTACCAGTACCGCAAGCTAAGCGCGTAAACAACAGTTCGTAATTGATTTCAACAGTCCGTATCATACATCCACGATGTCAATATTCCAGCGCTTTATTTGTGAGAAAAATTTTGAGGGAATTTTCGAGAAAATGTGCGCTGTCGGAGCGGTCCGCGTAACACAAGCAGAGAACTGCTGAAATTGTACAAGCGAGCTCTTTCTGTGGTGCACCGCGTCGGCCTTTTGGTGCGAGTCAAAAAAGTAGCGCACCAAGATATGAGTCTGCAGTGAAATACGAATCGGATATTCCCCTTCTTTTGCAGGGTGTTATCGAGACAGAACATGACCTGGGCAGTATTTTTGCTGCGCATAAGGATATTTGGCGTAGGCAAGTCGTTCTGCAAAGGCTTGCTGCAAGAGTATTCCTAGATGAGCGGCAATTTTCGAGATAGCACCACTCCATCCACTGCAGCCTGCTGGAAGCTGCTTCCAGCCACGCTAGCGGCCACCTCCGCTAGCACGCCACTCTCAGCATCGGCAAAATTCAAATCGAACGTCACCCGCCGGGACACAATGACGAGAGGAGTACGGGTGAGAGTTATTCCCTCAAAATCTCGTACATAAGGTATGCGGTGCACGTGGAGTGCGTTTTTGATGGAATCTGCGAATGCCACCTGGTTCTCTTCACTATCCAGGCCGTATGTGTCGGGCCACTCCCATACTAGAGCATCAAGAATCTTGCAATGCGGCTCGTCACTTCCGGAGGCGCAATTCGGCACGTAATGCAGCACCCGAACGGCGAATTTGTAAAGAATTTCACGCTCGACGGGCTCTGTCTCGGTTAGTTGGGCTGCACTTTGCGCCGCCACGCGTTCCCTGCGCAGCGCATCAATTTCTTCTTCTGCATTTTCGCCGACCCCTTTTCTGTGGTTTTCCTGCAAAAACGAAGAGCCAGCGACGTCGGAAGAGACGTTCAGCCCAAGAATCGTGATTGCTCGGGTTTCGACCTGCACGCCGTCCATGCCGATAGCGTCTCCGTCCCAATCGCGGAGGCCCGCGAGAAAGCTCGCAACTCCGCCTTCTACTGCATGGGTAAAATTTGCAACGGTTTGATTTAGTTTGAGAATTTCGCCGCTATCCAGGGGAACCTTTGACAAATCAAAATTTGCAGCTTGCACGAGCGTTGCGTCCCGCACGACATGCTCGTCCAAGAGCAGTTTCACTCGAAACTCACGGAGAAGAACCCGGGCGCTTGGCATAGCTTTCGGATGAACCGCTTCCCAGAGCGCGACCGTTCCAGCGGCGTCCGCGCTAGCATCCACCGCCGACGGCGACGATGGTAGGTCTGAAGTGGCCTCTGTCAAAAATGCTCCTACCCGGTTGGAAGCAAGGACCACGCAGACAAACGGCAACAGGACGCGGATGGGTCTAGTAAGGCCCATAGTGGTTGCTGTCATTCTCTGGGATTTCGTCGATTTCTGATAATCACAAATAGATTCTATTGCGCTATTCTGGAAAGGAGGTTGGTTCCCAGGAGGAATCGGGAATCAAAACACTCCGCCCTGCCGCACGTCATTTTCCTCGTGAGGCATCGTGTCCTTTTTTTTTTCGTATGATTCTACGGGAGGGGGGGATAGTCAAACGGTCTGGGTTTGCGCAAGTTTCTTCTCCAAAGAGCAGCGCATCCCCCTGGAACATCAACATTTTGTCATGAAAAATAACATGCGTTAGTTTTGTGAAATCACGGCACAGGACGTTTTGGTGTGACTTCGCACGGGTACGAGCGAACGACGAGGTGTTGGACGAGCACCAAAAGTGAACGAGACGGACACTGTATTCCACGCATGCACGGCGGGTGACGTATACTCAAAGGCTCATGCGTTTACGACCAAGACAAGCATGGCAGGAAAAAGTACGCCTGCGGCTAGTACCTCATCGCGCTCTCACGGTGCGAGGTTTTATTTTAGTCGGCCGGTCTGGTTCGAGCGTGCGCCACGCTTTCGCTTTTGCGACATGAACGATGCGAGGCTTAGCAAACAAGCAAGAACGTAGGCTGCGATACGGTAGCACTAGGCAAGCCGTTAGCAATTGCAACGGGTGCTGCGGTTACATTCGCGAAAATGCGATCAAACACTCACTCGACAATGACGCTCCAGCGGCATCCTTCCAGGACAGAAGAACAAGCCTCCAAGCTGGCCCGTGTTTGCCTCACACGGTAACTTGTCCAGCGGATACACTATCCCCTTGCATGCGATAACAACTGCGGTTTTGGCTCCTCGTTCACCTCTATCGACGGGTCATGTCATGGCGAGTGTTGGATATGCAACTTGCAGATCTTGTGCACTGAGCAAACGACAGAGCTATCTTGTGCTAATTGATGTGAAAATGAAGCAACCTATCCTGAGTACCTGGTTTTGAGGCTCCCCAAATAAGTGAAATACCGTGAACTTTTTCCACTCATAAAAGCGAATTTCTGAAATTTTGCGGATATTGTACAATCATAAAAATAAAATTTTGAAATTTCGCGGATATTGTACAATCATAAAAATAAAATTTTAAAATTTCGCGGATCCTGTTCGCCACAAAGTGGAATTTTGAGTATATTGCTCGGATTCTATGCTCCAAAAGAGAACATTTCGAAATCTCATCGATCCTCTTCCCTTATAGAAGCGAAGTTTTGATATTTCGCGGATTCTGTGGACCCATAAAAATAAGATTTTCAAATTTCGCGGATTTTGTTGATCTATAAAAAAGAACACTGTCGAAGTGATATCCAAATCCAAATCCAATAAAAAGTAAAAACTGTATGATTCTCATGCGAACAAAGATTTGGAAATTGTCTGAATTTTGTGTCCGGATAGAAATAAAATTTTGAAATTTCGCGGTTTAGATTCACAGTGATGGCATGCAACTGTGGCGATATTGGGGTGCACGCCAGCAGCAGGTGCATCGTTCACCTGTGATGGTGACGCTGTTGGCGGTCGCGCTTCGCGGCCGTACGTTCATCGCAGACCCCGTCGTTCGGTTCTCGTACAAAAACGCGTGGGTACCGCTCGCGCGCCATCTTTCTTCTTTCGCTTAGGCGCGAGGGCGAGAACCGCCCCCAAGCAGTGGAATGCACATACTCCTCGTACAAACATCTCGGCGAAATGCGTCAAGTGGAGTGACGTTATGAGTCGCCGAGGAAGACTATTCGTCACGGCGGAGAGCATGAGCGCCGTGTATCTTGTTCGTAGTTGTTACTCAGTTAGGACGGGCTGACAGACCCCGGTCCCAAGCTATTGTGATCAGTAGAGTGTCACTAGTATTTCTCGCCTCAAACATGTCTCTCGCCTCAAATCTTCAATGCAGATGTTTTCTTTGCCCACCCTCCCACCCGCATCTCCGCTGCGCGGCCACTCGGTGTCCCTACACCTGAAAAAATCGTGGGTACCGCTCGCGCGCCATCTTTCTTCTTTCACTTAGGCGCGAGGGCGAGGACCGCCTCGAGGGGGCACCCGCGTGCTGGGAGCCTGGTTTGCGTATGTCTACGGGCTTTCCCTGATACTCCTCGAACGTACCACACGGTAAAGCAAAGTATGGAAATTGCGGAATCTCTATGCAGCAGCGGATGTGCTGCCAGGCAAAAATGATTTTAGTTCACACCCTCAGAACTCCTCAGGATAGGAGCATGAGAGTGAGACCGTGCTCTACGACATCAGGGGCAATCGGTGCTCGCGCAACCGTTTCGCTGTGTCGAAATTGCGGGGTTGCATCTCGCTGGCTCGGAGCCGCTTTGTTGTCGCGCGGTGTTGGCGGTGTATCGGACTTTCCGGCATCCTCTGCAGTGCAACAGCGGCCTTGTTCGAGGCTACTTACGCCTCGTTTCAACCTGTCGATCCCGGCTACTGGACGCCACTCGTGCCTGAACAACGTCTGCTCTACACAGACCTTTAGCTACTTACCACAAAGTATGCGATTTTTTACAACGTTAGGGTATCCGGAAGTCTAGATTTTCACGACTTAGGTGATTTGAGCAACAAGACTCGACGCAGGGCACGCCTTCCCTGCACTGCAGAGGAAACGCGGCGCGATATGGGTCAACTTTCACTAATAAGCAAATTTTCGGGCAAAGAGGCCATTTGGGACGCCGTGCGCGTGTTTTGCGCGCGAACTCCGCGCACGCGAGTGCGCGCAGCTTGCAACTGGCTGGCACAGCAAAGGCATTCCCGCGGCTGGGATGGTCGCGCGGTCAAGGTTGGTGGTTTTTCTTGGTGGGTCTCCAGTTCCAGTCCGGCGCGATGCGGTCTCGTGTCGTGGTGGAACAGACGAACCTGGAAGGATGAGTCGGTGAAATCAGAAAACGCAAGATTAGCGAAGAAAGCAAAACCATGGGAGATTAAATGACGACCGATGCCCCCGTTTTCTGCTTGTGCAGTGACCCGAGTGCGGTCGCGCTCTCCGGCTTGCCTCTCTGACACGTGGCAGCGGGCTCCCATGGTGTAACGGTTAGCACTCTGGACTCTGAATCCAGCGATGGCGGTTCAAATCCGCCTGGGAGCT